TGGAAATACCAATTGGACAGAGAGCTGGTTTTACGAAATCGTTACAGAGATATTCACCTTCCTTATGAGGAACACGAAAGGTAAATGGTAAATTGAGACTTTTGTTCTGACATGTAGAAAAATATGTCATACAATTGTGGGCAGGGTAAGATGACGTCACGTTTGTTTGTTTGTTTTTCCAACAGAGACGATTCGCTGTCAATCAAACTTGATTTATGTGTCGATGACATAATAAGGTATACGAGTAGCAAATCGTTTTTCAGCAATTATATGCGTCAGTACCAGGACGGAACATCGATTTTAGAAGATTTACGAAAGAGGTAATTGCATAAATACAATCTGGCATTTACGGAAAGTGGTTGGTATTTTGTAACAAAATATAAAAAAACAGATAACACATTATATAGGACCTCGTTTTGATACAATCGTTGTGTGTTCAAACTAAATTATCGTTTTGTCGAACATCAAGGTATAATTCGGGTTATCATTAATGAGAGCAGGCAATGTTGGGGCATGCGCTAGTTAATAGATTCGTCTGATACATCATATATATTACAATTTCAGTTTAATGGCGGAGCTGGCTCCAGAAAATATCGGCGCTGATGAGAAAGTCATACATGCAGAGTTCCCGTTGTTTATCCTGTTGACTAGGAAACCGAAGTGATTCAAGTTGATGGTTATTATTACGTAATATGTGAACTACACAAGACAAGCCTATATTACATATTATTGGCGTTTGTATTCATTTAGAAACTTAACTGCTTTCTTATTTTCTATCAATTTAAAAATATACATTTTGACTATTCATAATGACCGTAACCAGCACGTTATGTAAAATAGAGTGCGCACATATTAAATCATGCAGGGATCGATAAGAAAACAACTTAGGTCAAATATACTAGCATATCTACCAACCTCGCAATAGTTTTGCTCAACTTTGCACACTGTTTAACAGGTTAGACGTATTATGTGCCCACAGCAAAAATAAATTGTTCATTAGAATACGAGTAAGTTTTAAAACTTGATATGAACATAAACATTTGGAATAAGTTCCACAATTTTCTGCTTATAAATGTTTGACATCACAGTGAGAAAGAATGCACACAAAATGTCTTATGTCTTCGCCGTATGTGTGGCGACTCAAAAACACCACAAAAAATGGTTTCACAGGCTGGTTTGCTCAGGTCTACTTTCGTTTTCCCAAAGCCGCGTTCCAATCTTCTTTTAGGAGAATTTAGTGTTCATTTTCAACTAAATATTCTCTGCTTCTCAATGGGACATTCCTAAAACAAACTTTTTTAAAAATCCCTAAACAACTAAGGGTTGGTTCGTAAAGGTTTGGTTCGTCTCGTCTCGGTCCGGTAGTACATTCTGTCAACTTCAACGGACTGACCCTTACGGACTTTGATCGTTTGAAACAAACTAGCTTGGGACAATCATCTATTGACTAACTATACTTTGGAATAAGTTACCGTCACATTTGAAAAATAATCACAATCGTGCCTGTTTCAAAAAAGCTTTACAAAATTATTTAATAACTGAACGCATGATTTCTGATTAGCTCCGACCTATTTTTTTCTTTCTTCTGCGTTAGTTTGTATTATGATTTGAAACATACTCATTTTAGATGTATATAAAGTCTCATTAATCTCTGTTGCTTTTTAACATCAATGTCACAAATAGTCTTTAAAATGCCCTCGTCATATACCTACATAAATATTTTCCAATATATTTTAGTGAGACAGACTCGACGAGCCATTTTGTGCTATTTCTGTTTCCCTGCCATAGATTGTTGAAAGTTTTATTATTATTATTATTATCATACATATTTTCATAATTTACTTGTATTTATTTACTTTAGCTAATTATTTATTGATTTCCCTATAATACTTAAAATCTATGGCGAATAAATATTATTATTATACATCTGTCATCGTAACGCCATAGGTTACTGCGTGCCGTAATTTTGCGGTATTGTACGGGGTATTTTCATCCTACCATATTAGGAAATGCGAATTTTAAATATGGAATGATTACGCGCGTAAACGTCCTCTAATAATAAAAACAAACATGGCTGCCACCAAGGTTTGACCGGAAGTTCGCTGATTCTGTTCTAAACATTTTGAATTTCGGCATTCCCAGGATGTATCCTTGGAAGGAAAGGATGTATAATAATGTTATTACGAGGATACTTCAAAGTACACCGTCACAGCGACATCCGCTGCGCGTCGGTCGATACTCCCGTTGTACTGTCTTCATGTATACTTTGAGGTATTCTCGTAATAACCTCATATTATTCAAAATTAATTAAATATTCAAATTAGCAAATTAATTAAGTTGAAAGTCAATATTGCATAGCACATATCGTATATTGACAGATCAAGTAAGTCTATACCAACTTTGGTCTCATGTGTACTATTAGTTCACAAGATATCAACACAAATTCAAAACTCATTTAATGAGCAAATGAGCTCGTTAATTAAATTAAAACTCAATATTGTATAGCATATATCTTATATTGACATATCAAGTCTCTACCAAGTTTGGTCTGATTTGGACTATTAGTTCACAAGTATTAACAAGAATTCAAATTAATAATTAAATATGCAAATGAGCTCATTAATTGATTTCTTGAAACAATAAATGAATGTGCATCTGTACCAGTGGTCACTCTGTCTTTGTACCAAGTCTCAGCAAAATCGGTCCAGGCATCTCTGAGAAATGAGGATGGACACACAAGGACCGAATTTGACTGAATTTTGGAATTAAAATGGCCGCTAGTCGGCCATATTGAAGGTAATCGGAAAATAAATTGACGTGCACATGTATGGTTGACCACTATGTCTTTGTGCCAAGTTTCATAAAAATCAGTCCAGCCATCTCCGAGAAATCACTCCGTGGGGGCTAAAAAGCACAAGCAGTGTGAAGCTGGCACGCAATAAAAAAATACCGATTTTTTTTATTACTGAGTAAAAATGGGGAAAGACAAGTGCGAGTACAAGCGCATTTTGGAATACAATGTTTATTTATTCAACTCAAGTCACAAAATAAGTCAAGTTTCAGTTATAATGTGCCTGTTTTTTACTTCTTTTTGTTGGTAGTTTTGCTATTAAAAAGGTTGCTTCCTTTTCAGTATTTCCCGTAATATGCATCAATTGTGCAGCAGGAAACTATCTTGTCACTGGTCCTGAATACTCTGATAGCTATCCAAGATGTAATGACTGCGCTGAAAAACCCAAAGACGTCGTAGTAGGGAATTTCAATGAGGGAACTGCATATCAGATCACCACGAACATAGATTTTTCCAAGAATGTGTTCATCTCTGTCTACTGCCAGTGGGATACATTCATACATCTC